GGGTTTAGGGTCACGGGTTCAGTGTATCACGGGTTTAGGGTCACTGGTCAGTTTGTATCACGGGTTCAGGGTCACGGGTTCGGTTTGAATCACGGGTTTAGGGTCACTGGTCGGTTTGTATCACGGGTTTAGGATCACGGTTCGGTTTGTATCACGGGTTTAGGGTCACGGTTCGATGTATCACGGGTTCAGGATCACGGGTCAGTTTGTATCACGGGTTCAGGGTCACGGGTTCGGTTTGAATCACGGGTTTAGGGTCACGGGTCGGTTTGTATCACTGGTCGATTTGTATCACGGGTTTAGGGTCACGGGTTTGGTGTATCACGGGTTTAGGGTCACGGGTTCGGTGTATCACGGGTTTAGGGTCACTGGTTCGGTGTATCACGGGTTTAGGGTCACTGGTTCGGTGTATCACGGGTTTAGGGTCACGGTTCGGTGCATCACGGGTTTAGGATCACGGGTCAGTTTGTATCACGGGTTCAGGGTCACGGGTTCGGTTTGTATCACGGGTTTAGGGTCACGGTTCGGTGCATCACGGGTTTAGGATCACGGGTCAGTTTGTATCACGGGTTCAGGGTCACGGGTCAGTTTGTATCACTGGTTTAGGGTCACGGTTCGGTGCATCACGGGTTTAGGATCACGGGTCAGTTTGTATCACGGGTTTAGGGTCACGGGTTCGGTGCATCACGGGTTTAGGGTCACGGTTCGGTTTGTATCACTGGTTTAGGGTCACGGTTCGGTGCATCACGGGTTTAGGATCACGGGTCAGTTTGTATCACGGGTTTAGGGTCACGGGTTCGGTGCATCACGGGTTTAGGGTCACGGTTCGGTTTGTATCACGGGTTTAGGGTCACGGGTTCGGTGTATCACGGGTTTAGGGTCACTGGTCGGTTTGTATCACGGGTCGGTTTGTATCACGGGTTTAGGGTCACGGGTTTGGTTTGTATCACGGGTTTAGGGTCACGGGTTTGGTTTGTATCACGGGTTTAGGGTCACTGGTCGGTTTGTATCACGGGTTTGGTTTGTATCACGGGTTTAGGGTCACGGTTCGGTTTGTATCACGGGTTTAGGGTCACGGGTTCGGTTTGTATCAAGGGTTTAGGGTCACGGGTTTGGTTTGTATCACGGGTTTAGGGTCACGTTTCGGTTTGTATCACGGGTTCGGTTTGTATCACGGGTTTAGGGTCACGGGTTCGGTGCATCACGGGTTTAGGGTCACGGGTTTGGTGTATCACGGGTTTGGTGTATCACGGGTTTAGGGTCACGGGTTCGGTGTATCATGGGTTTAGGGTCACGGGTTCGGTGTATCATGGGTTTAGGGTCACGGGTTTGGTGTATCACGGGTTTAGGGTCACGGGTTCGGTGTATCACGGGTTTAGGGTCACGGGTTCGGTTTGTATCACGGGTTTAGGGTCACGGGTTTGGTGTATCACGGGTTTAGGGTCACGGGTTTGGTGTATCACGGGTTTAGGGTCACGGGTTCGGTGTATCACGGGTTTAGGGTCACGGGTTCGGTGTATCACGGGTTTAGGGTCACGGGTTCGGTGTATCATGGGTTTAGGGTCACGGGTTCGGTGTATCACGGGTTTGGTGTATCACGGGTTTAGGGTCACGGGTTTGGTGTATCACGGGTTTAGGGTCACGGGTTCGGTGTATCATGGGTTTAGGGTCACGGGTTCGGTGTATCATGGGTTTAGGGTCACGGGTTTGGTGTATCACGGGTTTAGGGTCACGGGTTCGGTGTATCACGGGTTTAGGGTCACGGTTCGGTTTGTATCACGGGTTTAGGATCACGGGTCAGTTTGTATCACGGGTTTAGGATCACGGTTCGGTTTGTATCACGGGTTTAGGATCACGGGTCAGTTTGTATCAAGGGTTCAGGGTCACGGGTTCGGTGTATCACGGGTTTAGGGTCACGGTTCGGTTTGTATCACGGGTTTAGGGTCACGGGTTCGGTTTGTATCACGGGTTTAGGATCACGGGTCAGTTTGTATCACGGGTTCAGGGTCACGGGTTCGGTGTATCACGGGTTTAGGGTCACGGTTCGGTTTGTATCACGGGTTTAGGGTCATGGGTTCGGTTTGTATCACGGGTTTAGGATCACGGTTCGGTTTGTGTCACGGGTTTAGGATCACGGGTCAGTTTGTATCACGGGTTCAGGGTCACGGGTTCGGTGTATCACGGGTTTAGGGTCACGGTTCGGTTTGTATCACGGGTTTAGGGTCACGGGTTCGGTTTGTATCACGGGTTTAGGGTCACGGGTTTGGTGTATCACGGGTTTAGGGTCACGGGTCGGTTTGTATCACGGGTTTAGGGTCACGGGTTCGGTTTGTATCACGGCTTTAGGATCACGGGTCAGTTTGTATCACGGGTTTAGGGTCACGGGTTCGGTACATCACGGGTTTAGGGTCACGGGTTCGGTTTGTATCACGGGTTTAGGGTCACGGTTCGGTTTGTATCACGGGTTTAGGGTCACGGTTTGGTTTGTATCACGGGTTTAGGGTCACGGGTTTGGTGTATCACGGGTTTAGGGTCACGGGTTCGGTGCATCACGGGTTTAGGGTCACGGGTTTGGTGTATCACGGGTTTAGGGTCACGGGTTTGGTGTATCACGGGTTTAGGGTCACGGGTCGGTTTGTATCACGGGTTTAGGGTCACGGGTTCGGTTTGTATCACGGCTTTAGGATCACGGGTCAGTTTGTATCACGGGTTTAGGGTCACGGGTTCGGTACATCACGGGTTTAGGGTCACGGTTCGGTTTGTATCACGGGTCGGTTTGTATCATGGGTTTAGGGTCACGGGTCGGTTTGTATCACGGGTTTAGGGTCACGGTTCGGTTTGTATCACGGGTTTAGGGTCACGGGTTCGGTTTGTATCACGGGTTTAGGGTCACGGGTTTGGTGTATCACGGGTTTAGGGTCACGGGTTTGGTGTATCACGGGTTTAGGGTCACGGGTTTGGTGTATCACGGGTTTAGGGTCACGGGTTCGGTGTATCACGGGTTTAGGGTCACGGGTTTGGTGTATCACGGGTTTAGGGTCACGGTTCGGTTTGTATCACGGGTTTAGGGTCACGGGTTCGGTTTGTATCACGGGTTTAGGATCACGGGTCAGTTTGTATCACGGGTTTAGGGTCACGGGTTCGGTGTATCACGGGTTTAGGGTCACGGGTCAGTTTGTATCACGGGTTTAGGGTCACGGTTCGGTTTGTATCACGGGTTTAGGGTCACGGGTTCGGTGTATCACGGGTTTAGGGTCATGGGTTCGGTTTTTATCACGGGTTTAGGGTCACGGTTCGGTTTGTATCTACATGAACCACTGAGGGGCGGCAGTGGGGCGGCAGTGGCTCAGTGGTTCATGTAGGTTGTCTACAAACCGGAAGGTTAGTGGTTCAATCCCCGGTTCCACCTGACCAAGTGTCGAGGTGTCCATGAGCAAGACACCTAACCCCAGCTGCTCCCGACGAGCTGGAGGGCGCCTTGCATGGCTGACACCACCGTCGTGAATGTGAGGCAATATGTAAAGCGCTTTGGTGGCCATTGGGTCACGGGTTTAGGGTCACGGGTCGGTTTGTGTCACGGGTTTAGGGTCACGGGTTCGGTGTATCACGGGTTTGGTGCGGTTCGGTATGTATTTATGTCTATCGCCCAGTTAGTCCCAGACTAAAATACATGTTTGAGCTTTAACTGAAAGCATATCTTAAATATGTCAGATAGATAGATAGTTTTATTTAATGCCATGTCAGCATCTAAGGCTATTTGCATGGCAAAAATTAAATGACAAAAATACAAATATCATATAAATACAATAAAGCACAACAAGTCATATTATACTTTTTTTTAAATTAACATATGATAAAAAATCCTAAACCTTTTGAGGCATAATCTTACTAAATAAGTCCTTAAATGAAATAACTTCATAAAAGAGCATTCTACTAGTTTTATACCCAGGACAGTCCAATAAAATATGTTTATCAGAGAGGGGGATCTTACAAATCATGCATAGAGTTGGGTCTTCTAAATATGTCAGTGCCATTGTTTTGTCTTAAGATTCACACCAGTAATGTTTTTTAAGGCACGTTTATATAAGCTACTTAAGTGTCCTAATTAAAAAGCCCTAATCCTGGCTTTATCTAAACCTGTCTGTGAAACCAGGCCCACAAATACTATCTTGAAGATTTCGGTTGCATGGACTTTCATGGAGACAAAAATCTCTCAGGTTTCATTAAAAACATAATTTATTGTGTGTTGAAGATAAAGGAGAGTCGTATGGGTTTGGAACGACATGCGAGCGAGTAAATGACACGTTTCCCTTTGGGGTGGACTAGCAATAACAGCACTGCATTAATAACCTAATGATATTCCTAATCTTAAATTAAAATGTATATCATATACTAAATCATTCAAAAACAGGAGCATACTGTGGCTTCTTTAAAAACAAAACTATTGTTTAAAAAAAGCAGAGGTAGGTTATTCTGAACAAAAATATCCATCTCTCGTGCCCATAATCAACGTTTAAGCCTTTATCACCTGATAATGTTGTGCATCCCTAGGGAAAATCGCATGTGATGTTTATGGCATTCTGTTATTAACTATACCCGTTATTTTGCTTTTAAACAAAACAAATCTATCAAATAAAGAGGCAGAATAGTGTTGTTGGAATAAGTGCCAGTTCTTCTTTCGTCACACATGGCAGATACAGCATCAGTACAGTAATAACGCGCTGATGCAAAGATCAAGAGCTGTTCTTCTTCATATCAGGACTCATTATGAACGGAGAGAAACACTGGCGTTCCTGCTGCTTCAAAGCTAGTTTATAATCAATGTCATGTTTGTCGCATTGAGTGCGCATGCGCATGCGCAGCAGATCACACCCATCAGGGCTGACATGAGAAAACTCGTCTTTAACATTCATTTTACACTCATGTAAAACAGTGATCGAGCAGTTTCGAAGGTGCTGTAAAGATCAATGTAAATATTGTAAGAATCAACCGAGACCGACCTTGTATACTTGTCCATAGGTGCCATTGCCGACCACTTCCACCAGCTCAAAAATGCCAGCAGGGTCCTGAAATCACACAAATGACCACCACATCGGTTAATAAGAGAAACTTTATGATGATTACACGTATGAATGTGTGTGGCAGAGCCGATGAGCTCGAGAGTGTGTCGCTCCGCTGCCGTTATTATGCTTTACACGAGAACAGCGCGCGCCGAACAAAGGGCAACACTGTAACAATGAGCATTAGAGTTACACACAGGTCGAGCATTCGAGTTACACACAGGTCGAGCACGACTCTCGATCTCACTGAAACACCACTGATGCATAAGGCCTGTCGGAGACCGAGTGAGTGTGTGAGAAGAGCACTCACGCGCAGAGAGGCGAGGTCTATGTCCACCAGGCTCTTAGCGGGCGAGTCGTTCGCCATCTTTCACCAAACTGTTCAGATATAAGCGACGCTGTGTAATCCGTTCTTCAGTCGTGTGGTGTCCGTTCGACGCTGTCGATCATCGCTATATTTCTGCGATAATCTTGAGAGAGCAGCGCAGGCCCTCCGCGGTCCTCTATTGTTCGCGATGAGGATGATGATGATGAAGAGTCTAGGTCAGTATATGACGGAGTGGGCAGAGACACGGAGGGGGTGGAGACAGCGAGGGAAGGGGCTATTCTAGCACACAGACGAGGAAAACACACTATACACTGTATATATACTGTAGACTGTATATATCACTGATTCTGGAGATAAGGGACTAAGTTATTTAATAATACTTTATTATAAATTGAAATGATTGCAGGCAAAGCTCTCAACCATATAAGGGAATAGGTTTTTATGAAAATGTTTTTTTTCTAAAATAAATAATTAATGTATTCACTTATTACTATAACTTATTTTTTGTCAACTCCATCAGATGCAATAAAAAGCATTCTATTTTAATTTGATCCACCCAACAACAGTGTAAAGTCTTCAATTATGTAATAATGGTGTTCAGTAAAGGAACTTAGTGAAAAAATACATTCTTTACATTTTTTCCCCTGGGTTAGGATTATTATGAACAATCCAGTTCCTAAATTCCTTAATTCTCTACCCTCCTTTTTAATATTAAACATATAATATGACAAAAACTGACAGAGTTGACAAAGGTCCAACTGAGGTTTCAACAACTGATTGACAAGACAACAAATTAACACATTTTTAAACTAATATTTATTTTAATACAGCAATCCTTCCAGTGGTTTGTTGTTCTCCTTTTAGCGGTAGAGTCTCATTCTGGGTCTCCAGTAGCTCACAGAATACAAGAAGCGTATCTTCTGTTTTGACAAAACTGTTTTAGTGTCTCCTACAACAGGTTTACGTGAAATTAAAGGTCAAAAACACTGTAAACTCACGCCTACTCTGCTCTGTTCTGATTGGTCTGACTGAGCTTATATTGGTCAAAAATGACTGCCCATTGAAAATGAATGGGGGAGTCGAAAATCATAGAAACAATTAGTGTTCAGGAGTGTGTTCATGTTCAAATTCACATATGTACATGTCGGCTTTCAAAAATAAAGGCCTCGGACCTTTGCATGTGTGGATACATGTTAACTGGTCGGGGGGTTAATAAAGTCCTTCTGAAGCAAAGCCATGAGTTTGTGTAAGAGAAATATCCATATTTAAAACTTTATAAAGTAAAATAACTATCTTCTGGCCAAACGAACATACGGATTCCACAAGTGTAAAAAGCAACTTCTGTGAGTAATGCGACGCACTGCTGATATTTACGCTACGCCATGACGCTCTACACTACTTCCGATATCACAAGTTGCGTAAGTTTCGCTTTAGGTGTAAGTAAACTGCATATGTTCGTTTGGCCAGAAGCTAGAATTTTACTTTGTAACGTGTGAAATATGAATATTTTTCAAAACCAGTCCTAATTGAAAGAAAACAAGCTGACAAAAAGATTGAATCCAATATTTGGTGATAAGGTAACATAACGAGAGATTTATAATACATTTTTTGCAGGTCGGTCATTTTTGACCGGGAACCAGACACAAGTGTTATCGGGTTTTCAACACAGTACAAGGGTTAGATGGACCTGCCAGCTGTCCAATTGCTCTGCTTAGAGCAAGGGGGCCGTTCACTAGAAGAACACACACAAGACTTTCTAGATATGGCATGCCAATCGACTGACCCTCAACTGAGCCATATTGTGCCCTGGAGCCTGAGCCCAACAGCGCGTCTGACCAGGTGCGCGAGTCGACAACGATGCCCGTCCCCGAGGGAGTACTTGTGGAGTTTGAGGGCATGGAGAGAAGCCCCGCCTGACAAGCTGAGCCATATCGCATTAATATCGCTGGCGATTAGTTAATTGTCAGTTAACTACGGCTCTTTGTAGTAAATGCCACTCCATCTGAAAGCAGGTGAAGGCGATTTACTACTAATCAAGGAACCGGCTTTACTGACGAGATGCGCATAACAATGTGATGCGATATATCGCCCAGCCCTACCCCACAGTCACCAGATCTCAACCCAATAGAGCATCTTTGGGATGTGGTGGAACGGGAGCTTCATGCCCTGGATGTGCATCCCACAAATCTCCATCAACTGCAAGATGCTGTCCTATCAATATGGCCCAACATTTCTAAAGAATGCTTTCAGCACCTTGTTGAATCAATGCCACGTAGAATTAAGGCAGTTCTGAAGGCGAAAGGGGGTCAAACACAGTATTAGTATGGTGTTCCTAATAATCCTTTAGGTGAGTGTACTGAGCTAGAGGAAGTTGAAGCTCACAATGCTTGTCTTTCTGAAGAAGACATCAGCAGCACAATGAGGATTGCTAATGTCAGAGTTCACATGGAGCGGATTGCATGCAGACTACAGCACTTTCGGATTATTTCACTAGCAGTGCTGGATAAAGTACCTAACATCCACACTTGAGTAAAAATATAGATATCTTACCAGAAAAGGACTTTGGTAGAAGCTGAAGTCACTGTTTATAATATTACTTGAGTAAAAGCTTTAAAGTATGTAATATTTATTGTACTTAAGTGTGAAAAGTATATTTTTTTATTTTAAACGTACTTAAGTATTGAAAGTAAAAGTAAATGTAAAATTCAAAAGGAGTGAAAAAATATTAACAATTGTTCTATACACTGTTTGAGCAGCAAGATTGTGTTCAGTTTTCTTCCATTATGTTTTCTTTGAATAAAAAAAAAGGCAAAATGTTTATTGTAAGTTTTAGGTAAAAAAAAAATTATAATGCAGTTTCAAATTTGAAAAAATAACTAATTAATTTGAATGTGGAGACCTCAATGTGTTTCTTGGGGTTTGAAATGGATCCACTGTAGGCAAGTTGCAGAACCCATGTGCAGTTTATTTATATCAAAACATGATCAAAATACAAAACAAAGACTTGACTATGCATAACTTAACAGAAACTAACACTCACCAAACAGTGGTTACACAGAAAATACTAGACAAAGACACATGCAAAACATGAGGGCTTAAATACTCAAGGACTAATGACTAAACAAGACACACCTGTGAACATAATCAAGACAATTAACCAATGACAACATGACACAAGAGACTAGGGAAGCACATGGCAGGATAGCATGAGGGCTAGGGAATCACATTTCAAGACAAGAAGCAATGAACCAAAAACCAAAACTAGTAACATGAAACATGAGCCCGAAACAAAACCATACATTAAAGTCCCCCCCCCCCTCTATGGGCGGCTCCCGATGCCCAACTGGAGCCCCCTCTGGACTCTGGTCGGGGGCTGGAGCCATCTCGTGACTCTGGTTGGGGGCTGGAGCCATCTAGGGACTCTGGTCGGGGACTGGAGGCATCTCGGGACTCTGGTCGGGGGCTGGACCCATCGCTGGACTCTGGTCAGGGGCTGGAGCCATCACTGGACTCTGGTCAGGGGCTGGAGCCACCTCGAGACTCTGGTCGGGGGCTGGAGCCACCTCTGGACTCTGGTCGGGGGCTGGAGCAATCTCGGGACTCTGGTCAGGGGCTGGAGCCATCACTGAACTCTGGTCGGGGGCTGGAGCCACCTCGGGACTCTGGTCGGGGGCTGGAGCCACCTCGGGACTCTGGCCGGGGGCTGGAGGCATCTCGGGACTCTGGTCGGGGGCTGGAGCCGTCACTGGACTCTGGTCGGGGGCTGGAGCCGTCACTGGACTCTGGTCAGGGGCTGAAGCCATCACTGGACTCTGGTCAGGGGCTGGAGCCACCTCGAGACTCTGGTCGGGGGCTGGAGCCATCTCGTGACTCTGGTCGTGGGCTGGAGCCATCTAGGGACTCTGGTCGGGGACTGGAGGCATCTCGGGACTCTTGTCGGGGGCTGGACCCATCACTGGACTCTGGTCAGGGGCTGGAGCCATCACTGGACTCTGGTCAGGGGCTGGAGCCACCTCGAGACTCTTGTCGGGGGCTGGAGCCACCTCTGGACTCTGGTCGGGGGCTGGAGCAATCTCGGGACTCTGGTCAGGGGCTGGAGCCATCACTGCACTCTGGTCGGGGGCTGGAGCCACCTCGGGACTCTGGTCGGGGGCTGGAGCCACCTTGGGACTCTGGTCGGGGGCTGGAGGCATCTCGAGACTCTGGTCGGGGGCTGGAGCTAACACAGGACTCTGGTCAGGGGCTGGAGCCATTACTGGACTCTGGTCAAGGGCTGGAGCCATCTCTGGACTCTGGTCAGGCTGGAGCCATTACTGGACTCTGGTGAGTGGCTGGAGCCACCTCTGGACTCTGGTCAGGGGCTGGAGCCATCACTGAACTCTGGTCGGGGGCTGGAGCCACCTCGGGACTCTGGTCGGGGGCTGGAGCCACCTCGGGACTCTGGTCGGGGGCTGGAGGCATCTCGGGACTCTGGTCGGGGGCTGGAGCCGTCACTGGACTCTGGTCAGGGGCTGGAGCCATCACTGGACTCTGGTCAGGGGCTGGAACCATCTCTGGACTCTGGTCGGGGGCTGGAGCCATCTCGGGATTCTGTTCGGGGGCTGGAACCATCTCGAGACTCTGGTCGGGGGCTGGAGCCATCACTGAACTCCGGTCGGGGGCTGGAGCCACCTCGGGACTCTGGTCGGGGGCTGGAACCATCACTGGACTCTGGTCGGGGGCTGGAGCCATCTCGGGATTCTGTTCGGGGGCTGGAACCATCTCGAGACTCTGGTCGGGGGCTGGAGCCATCACTGAACTCCGGTCGGGGGCTGGAGCCACCTCGGGACTCTGGTCGGGGGCTGGAACCATCTCTGGACTCTGGTCGGTGGCTGGAGCCATCTCGGGATTCTGTTCGGGGGCTGGAACCATCTCGGGACTCTGGTCGGGGGCTGGAGCCATCTCGAGACTCTGGTCGGGGGCTGGAGCCAACACAGGACTCTGGTCAGGGGCTGGAGCCATTACTGGACTCTGGTCAAGGGCTGGAGCCATCTCTGGACTCTGGTCAGGCTGGAGCCACCTCAAGACTCTGGTCGTGGGCTGGAGCCATGTCTGGACTCTGGTCGGGGGCTGGAGCCACCTCTGGACTCTGGTCAGGCTGGAGCCACCTCTGGACTCTGGTCGGTGGCTGGAGCCATCTCTGGACTCTGGTCGGGCTGGAGCCATCTAGGGACTCTGGTCGGGGGCTGGAGCCA